CATATATTGGGATGCGGTCCAAGTTAGAACATTTTATGTATGTATTTATCAACCCTGGCAGAGAACATGGGTTGAAATGACTTTGTGACAAACTACCTTTGCGAAGTCAAAGGCTGATTTAGATCCCTGTCCCCGCCCCAACCAAATGGCTCTTTCCTTCTTTCACCCGCCTGTCCTTTCTCTCAAGGTGGAAGATCTGAGACTAGGCTATGGCAGTGGGTACTGCAGAGCTGTGAATGGAGTGCACGCCTCTGAGCCTGTGCTGGATAGCAGGAGGAGAAACTCCGCAGTGGAGGTGACGTTTGCAGCTGAGCTGGAGCATTCCAAACCAGAGGCAGATCCCATATTATTACATCAGTCCCAAAGCAGTTCCTCTTTCCCTTTTATTTATACAGACCCAGTCTTTACCACTGACCCTGATCCTGACACTGATCCCAGAGACTACTTTGAGGAAAGGAGTCCTCTAAACTCCTTCCAAACAAGCTTTAAGTTTGCTGACAATCCCATGAGCACATCTTCTGGCCTTACAAGCAAAGTGAGTCCAGCAAGGCAGCTTACTTACACAGATGTGCCCTATATTCCTTGTACTGGTCAGCAGGTTGATATTATGCCTCCCCAAGTCTTCTTTTATGTGGACAGACCACCCCAGGTGCCCAGACGGTCTCCAATCATGGCAGAGGAAAGGGAAGGACCAGACAGCTGTCTACAGTCTACTGCAGTGAAGTCAGCCAAAAGAAGCCCAAGGAACATCAGAATGAAGAGCTTTCAGCAAGACTTTCAAGAACTCCAAGAAGCTATGGCCAGGACTACTGGTAGGAGCAATGTGAATGTAGACCTAGAAGAGCAAGATCCAACTATAGGAGATGCATTTGCATATAACATTCAAGAGCCAACCCCTAAACGTTCCCAGAGCCAATCAGACATGAAAACGATCCGATTTCCTTTTGGGTCAGAATTTAGACCCTTAGGGCCTTGTCCTGCTCTCAGTCGTAAAGCTGACCTGTTTACATATATGTTTACAGAGCAGGAGTTTCCAACAGTTTTAATGGATCAGGGAGCTACAGAAAGGTATGTGCCTAGTGAATCCAGTGATTCTGAGTCAGAGATTCTTAAACCAGACTACTACTCTTTATATGACAAAGGAATAAGGTCACCCATGGCCAGAATTCGCTTGTCTTCTGGTAGTCTACAGCTAGACGAAGAAGATGAAGATGTTTCTTTTGATACATCAACTACTGAAGATAGGACTTTGCAAAAACCATGTAATTACTTTTTAGCCTAAAATGTGAACCCTATGAACATGTCCAGACCAGTTCCATGTTACTCACTTAGGTGAAACATAAGGCACTTTCTGCAAAAACCATTTTCTTTGTTACTGTTCACTAGTATTAAGGGAATCTTCTAAGCTTGGGCACCTAGCTTATGAAAGATCCAGCTACTGCCTCGTTCCTCAAGCCTCTCTTCTATTCCCTCTGAATCATTCTGGAACATGCCCTTTTCTCACCAGCCCTGAGGCAGAGTGAGGTGGGTATTTGTCATCTCTATTATACATTTCCCCATAGAGACATTATAAATGAAGGTCAGGTTCCTCAACACCGAAGAACAATAAGAACAGTAACAGTATGGACTGGCATACAAAATTGGCTTCTGATATAATTTAGTGATAACAGACTGTGGTTGTGTTGATCATTCTGTTCTTAAACAATACCGCAACTAAAGGTTTCAGTCCTCATTATTTGTGTGGGGCCCAGTAAGAATGGTTCTGTTTTATGTTAAAAGATGTCAATTTTTATAACATATACTAGGGGGAGCATGGCCCTCTTGTACTTCAGGAACAGAAGGAACATAGATCCTTTCAACAGAATACAAGTTTATAGTTTATCTAGGACTTGGCAGAATTCTAAACCTTGGAAATTCATGAACTGATCAGTTTCTAAAACCAGGCATCTGCTGATGAGGACAATATGATGTTTGACTTATTCTCTATTCTTAACTAGCTATAATATGTAGTGAAAGATAAAAGTTAACATGTTGGTCTGTTAATGTAATTTCTTCTGCAAGAATTTATTTTTTTCCCATATCTTGTTGCATGCATGTAGGCAAGGAAATGAGATGAATAGCATTTTAATAAAGAGTGATGGAAACCCATTTACTTAAAAAACAAGTTGTAAGTATGAACTTCCTTTGGTTTTAATCAATTTCAGAAGTGATTGGCTCTAGCCTATAATTAAGGGAAGGCACAGTTAAAGAGAACAAGGAAAAGGAGGGAAGCAGGTGAAAATGTATAGTCAGGGATGGAGAAGTGGCAGAAATGGGGTTTAAAAGAAAAAGGATAATACTCCACACTGACTTAATGAACCAAAATTCTATTCTTGACCCATTCGGGATTTCTCTATTATTCCCCCTTGGAAGGTATAGCATTCTATTTGAGAACTTTATCTTCTTTTTTTTGTTTTAATGGTAAATGCAACATATTTACAAGATAATGTTAGGTAATGACATCAAAGAAATGATGCAATTATATAAGCAAGTTATTTTTATATAGGACTGAATGGATAAAAGGTAGATGGAATAGTTTTCTTACTCTCCTAGTCCTTACACCAGAAAAATCCCTTTTAATAAGCCTCACTCTACTGCTTTTCAACATTCCAGCACTTTCCTTCCTGCTCCTGGAACCAAATCCAATAACTCACAAGTCTACAATAGATATTTCATAATAAGAATATATGAAGCCCAATCACTTATGTATTAATCTTATAGATACTCAAAGCTACATTAAGTTCATCTCTGACCTTTTCTATAGGAAAAACCCAAACTCCTTTGCGATTATATGCTGTTTCTTGTCTCAATTTCCAGAAATCTTTGCACAATTTGTTTCCCCCAGAGAAATACAGGGTTCAAATCTGTATAATATTTCCTAATAAAACTATATTAGGGTGACCATAAAATTTACTGTCTAACCTAATAAGGACATTGTTGAGTAAAAGAGGACTCTATTAATAATTTTGTCAGGACAGGAGGCAGAAATCATGACAGATATTCAAGCAGGACAGAAATCAGATATTCAGATTATAGTCCATTGGAGCTATAATCAATGCATACTAAAATTGTAAAGAGTATCTTCTAGTTTCCAATGGAAAACTCTGATGTTAAAGTTCCAACAATAAATGAAAGGAGAAAGAAGAAATAATTTGAAACAATTAAAATACCATACCCCTCAAAAAAACAAACATTAAGGACCATGAAATTTAAATATTTATTTTTAAATCCCTCTAAAACACTGAAGTATGCTTACCCACAAACAGTATACAGGACTAATAACTAAAATGAATAAGCAATACGATTTTCTATTCATAATGCAGCTGTGCTGAAAGTTTCAAATAATCAATTTAAAAATTTGTTGATTTTACTTTTATAAAAATATTCATTTAATACATGATATGAGTTGCAAAATTACTACCAGGCCTCTACAAATTATAAACTGTGATTGAGTTTCAGTTAGTTAGCAGGTGAAAATTTTCACTGAACTGTTACTTCAAAATACAATGTGTTAAAAGTAATTATTACAGTATAGGCACCAATGAAAACATTTTCTTGGCATATGACACAACAACAACTTATTCAAGTGTCTGTATTATTACAAAAGAGGAGGAGGTAATGGCCACTTTGACTAAAAACTTATTCTTCACTTGAAGAACATCTTCTAATATTTGGCAATTATTGAGCTTTATTAAAATGACTTTTGTGCAAAACCCAAATTGTGCAGACTCAAACAATAAAACATAAACTATCAAAACTAATTAATATCAATAATTCTACAACTACTGAAATACAGCCCCACTTCAGAACTTAGGCAGGCATAATATATATACTGGGCTTATAAGAAAAGGGTATTACCCACGTAACAGTACCATAAATATAACTGGAAATTAACTGTACAATCTAAATTACCTTTGTACGGACAGAAATCATCCAGTACTATGATTATTTTCATATGAATTAGAAAATGCTTATTTAAATACCCTATCAAAAATGAAAAAATGATGCTTATGTATTGGATAGTTATGAAGAACAAAAATGTATAAATAGTTTATAGGACATCTTAAGACCATGACAAAAATATGCTGGTGTAAATTATATTCATACCTATTGACCAGGTATTTATAATCACATGATAATCAGCTTCTTTTAAGCTCCCCAAATTCACTCATATAATATGCAATTTGAGTTGATTTTTTAAATGAATCCTTATTCTTCCAGTATTACCAAAAATCCATCCTTGGCTAATTGGTATTGCTTTAACTTCCCAACCATGTTAAATAAGGATCAACCATCTCTTCTATAAGAGAAAGTAAATACTGCACACAAGAGGTACCTCTGTTGCTACATGTTGCCTCTAAACACTACAGACGCAGGGCTCTCAAATGTAATCATTATTGAGCTGCCTGGAATATCATACCCACTTCGTAGAAACATCAATACTTTTCCAGGTTTCATTTCTAAGAGCTTATCAAAAACTTCTGTTTTAAGAATGTATGACTTGTTTCTGCTTCCCCACCAATAGTTATTTTTAGAACATGCTGTGTTTTAAAAAAAAAAAAGCTTTTTGAAGCTTGATGATTATAAAAGTTGAATATTTACGATGACTTTGAACAACCTGTATGTTTCATGAGTGTACAGTTAACTAAAGATCAAAACATGAAAAGTATTCGTCCTAGTAACTTAAGTAATAATGATACCTAAAAGCAAAACTGTCTCAACATTTACTAGAATACAGGTGAAACTATAGTATTAAAAGTTACTCCTTACAAAATAATCTCTTTAAAATAGAAAATGATAAACACCATCACAAAATAGTTGAATAGCTTCTTCCAAATCTTCAATGTTGCAAAGATCCAAAAGGCACATGGAGCTCATGAGTTAAGCATTGTTAAGCTTGAAGTAGCTTTGGTGGGTTTCTCTGGGTCCATATGAAATAGAAGCCAATAACGAGAAGTTTCTTAGGGGGATTCATCTGTTGAACACCTATAAAATTAGGAAACACTTAAATGATGTATAAGTATGCATGTGTCTATCTTATATCTGTATGAACTCTCCAGTGAAGGAAGTGATTCAGCAGACAAAACTGTATTGGGTCTCATCATACAGATGCTAAAATATAAGGAAGTTAAAAAAAATCCCTTCTGTGTCTGATTTTACAACTTCCAATTGATCTGTTTGCAAATTGGAAAAGAGAACGGAGGTTTTCATTAAAAATTAAGGGATTTTAATTAGCCTCCAATTAAAATAAATAAATTAATTTAAGAAAAACTAAGGGATTTTAAGAGGGGTTTTAGTTGATGAATATAAATAGGCTTTATCAGCTAAAAAGATCTAGGAGAGTATGTTTTACAGCTGTATAGTTTGTTCCAACTTGATCCCAGCAGCATCACAAATACAAAGAAATTTAAAGATACACTGAGAAGCCATATAATGGGATTAAGGCTAAGATTAGTATTGCTTTATAACCTGCTTGAGCTAAGAAGTTGTGTTTGTATATGCATTTTAAAAGGGAATTTAACGATTAAATGTAAGAACTTTACTGAGTGTGAACAAAGTTAAAGCAACAGTTCAAGAGACAGTATAGAAACTGAAATCAACCAGAATCTTCATTTGAGTTTCTCTACCTAAAATCCTTTCCTTAACTTTTCCTATGGGGGTTAAACTTAATGAACTATAGCACTGAAACTGAATAGCACTGTGATAAGAATAGCGGCAAGAATGAAAGCATTCCTAAATGGTATTTACAAGGGTCCAAATAAGAATATGCCCCCTCACCTTTTGTCTATACTCCTACTAAAAAAAAAAAAGGAGAAAAACAACCAGGCCATTTCATTCAGTGGAAAACTACCTTGTAATGTGTGCAGATAATTTCAAAAGCTAATATTTCAGATGGGCAGCAAACAAAACAGTTTTCAATTATATGACTATTAAGAATTGACTTTGTTAGGAATAACCAAAATAAGTAGGTAATCATATTATCACATCATAAATGAACATCCAACAGAAAATGTCAAAATTGTTTTTTAAAAATGACATTTCAAGCTTACTTTTGAAATTTTTCAATTAATTTCTTCACCATTTTATCTGTAATGCCAGGACAGGCAGCTTCGGCCACGGCAATACTTTTCTCCAGTTCTTCGATTGCCTGATTCCTGCTTGCATTATTCTCATCCTGCTGTTTAAGCTGAGAAAGATCAATAGCTATAACATTTAAAATTACTAAACTTCTTAAAATAGATAGCCAAAGCTGATGAATCTGTACTTACTTCAGCAAATGCAGGTGTGATTATCATAGACAAACAGCTCAGGGTTTGTACAAGATCTTGCTCCTTTGAACAAATATTATAGATTATATACATGAAATTAAAATAATCACTCATGTGCATTCATTGGAGTCCTCCCCCAAAAAGACCCAATACAAGGCAAGTCTCCATACTTTCTTCTCATCACTCATTCCCATCCATTGTCCAGAGGCCTCTAACTTCTAGGATTACAATTGATATGCACAATTCTATTTTAAAACATACCAATGGTCACTTAAATGACTTCAATGACCTTTTCTTAATTAGTTTGAAACGAATGGCAAATGAAACATACTGTGGACCACAGTGAGGTAGGCAAGCATTTAAGGGTATTAAATTCTAACAATTTCTGGCCATCACACTGTCGCATTTTAAAGTTCGAACAAGTCTCCCAAAAGGACGTGATCATCTCAGTATACATACGGCCCCATTCTGCAGTTTCTTAGGATCAGGCTTCTTTCGCACAGTGGTAAAGCTCCATTCAGGATGAGTATTATTTTCCCTGCTGCTGGGCTCCCTGCAGAGATTGCCAAAGATATTTCTGTAAGTTCCCAAATGATACAGCTTGGGGAAAATACCAAATCAGTGCAGACAGGTTCTGAATGGATAATTGTCCCAATGTATAAAAAATCATTTGATCTCAGTCTCAAATACACACTGCTTTCTGCCAAAGAGCAGAAATGGTACCCAGCTCTAAGTGTGTATCAGAATCACATGTGAAGGTCTCTTGCTATATATAAAGCCCTGGCCCAATCCCTTCCCAATGACTAGATCAAGATCTCCTGTAGTGTGGCTTGTGTTTTTTTCTTTGCCATCTTATTTTATATTGGAGATAGTTAATTTACATTTTTAAAGGCTCCATGAGTGACTAATGGGCAGCAAAGGCCAACAACCATTAGAACAGAGCAAAGACAACTACCCTGGTACTTTTTAGACCTTTCAGAAGTTGGACAATTTCTCATAAATGCAGATATTATCTGAAGAGACTTGGTGTTGCCTTTGTGTCAATTCAGCTAGCAGAGGAGTAAATTCTGGTGTAGCCTACAGACTCTGTAGTCTAAATTAAGTTAAGGAGTTAGAAGCTCACATGTTAGAATAAATGCTGCAGTTAAAAAATAATGCAACTTTTTAGGGGGTACAATTCAGATATAAATGAATATTTCAATGTACCAGTCTGATCACAGTTTGGTACATGGCCAGGAGGTGAGAAATGTTAGTTTTCAAGAGGGGTTTTGCAGGTTCCCAGCAAAGTATGAGAAGACGTTGCTCTTTATCACTTTGGGCAAGCTAATAAAACACCTTAAATGCAATCTTGTTCCAAAATTTTGTAATATACTCAAGTATCCACTAGGGGTTAGACTGAGACCATTTAAAACTAAAGAAATTCACTTCTGATGAGGGAAAAAAAAAAAAAAACGTGTTTCCAAATTCATTGTACTTCATAGACCATGATTTTAAAAGATTTTCACAATTTCTAAAGTCACATTTTAGAATAAGGTTTATATTTTATGTGAGAGAAAGCATATCAGCTCACAGTAAAAGATATGAAATATTGAAATGGGCTATCTACATAAAAAGTAAACAATTGGTACGTACGAATCAGATCCGTCAGAATCAGATTCATCATCGCTGTGTCCTTCTGCCTTCCATCTCTTAAATCGATCTATCAGTTCAGTCAGATAAGAAGTCTTCTTTGAATTTTTTACAATGAATTTATGTTTCAGAAGTTCTTTAGCTGTAGGACGCTAAGGAACAAAAAAGGAAGGATGCACCAATATTTCTAGGCTTTTTATGATTGCAAAGAGTGATATGAAATCATTATCAATTATTAAACTGAAAGGTATAAAAGTCTGTCTATAGATATGAAGATAACTAAAATGCCATAGGATAATAGCTAATTCTATTTCCGAAGTGGCTCAAGGCAACCAAATTAAATTCACTACTTTGGTATCAATTTGCTAAAATCCAGTGGGCAAAAGGTGGCTTAGGTACCAGCAGACAGGCAGGCAGGGCTTCCTTCAAAGCAGAGAAACACATGACAGGACTTGGATAATTAAGTAAAAATTTTAAAACAAAATCGTGCTTTAAAATACTTTTATTATATTTACTGTAAATTGGAAAAAAAAAGGATGAAAACTAGCAAGGCTATAACTTTCTTATTATCTGCACGCATCATATGACCCCCACATTAATTCCTTCTCCATCACACATTAATTCATATTGCATCTAAATAAAAATACTGTGTGTTGTGGGGGATATTTCCTCCCTAATATTTTATTAATATTCATTAGCAACCTACGATAGTTACATCCAATTGAGATAGTTCTTGTGTATTTCTAGTTTCTCACAGTTATCAGGCAGCTTTATTTTAAAAACAAAAAAACAACTGTAATCAAATTTGCCAACTCAATGAACGGAGCTCACTAGACTTCAGGAAAAGTATACAACTTCATGTTGGAATTTCTGAACATTAAATAAAAAATTGTGAAACACCAACAACTTTTCATGAAAAATGAGAACAGTTGAATAAAAATCATTGTACATAGTTATACTTTCTTAATGGCATCCTAGAAAATGAACTTTATTTCCCCTTGAAATAGGAAACGATCAACAGAATGAGGAAGATGCTAGGGAACATAGCAAAAAGAGAAGATGCAGAGGAAGGAGAGAAGGAACTACGGATCTTGTCAACAACTGAAAAAAATTCACAACACCGACGGGACAGTCAGGTTCCTGGATGGTCTGTAGACAGTTTCCACAGGCACTGTATTCCTTACTGTTGAACAAACCACATTGGCTCTATGTATATCTGATCGCAGAAAACAACGGTCATAGCACAGATACTCACAAATGATGGATCTTTGTTCAGGCAAGCATCAATAAACTCCTTAAAGGATTTAGTGAAGTCTCCGACAAGAGTTGGAGGATTGTTTTTTGGAATAAGAAACAGAACTCTCATTGGATGCATGTCAGAGTTAGGTGGCTCTCCCTTGGCTAGTTCAATAGCAGTAATTCCCAGTGACCAAATGTCAGCCTAAGGTAAGGAGGAAAGAATAATTACCTTGAAATTCCATTCTAACATTCTGCCACAAAGTAACTTGTGGAGTCTAATGGTCATACAATATTGAAATGTCTCAAGAAATGTGGTGTTAATAAATTTCTGATAGAATTCATTTTTTAGAAAATTATAAAATTCCCTACTTTGTGCCAGGCACTGCATTCCAAGCACTGAGAATTCAGATGGTGACTAAACCAGACAAAAATTCCTGCTCTCAAGAGGCTTATGTTCTAGTAGAAGAAAAAGATAAATGAATAAACAATAGGATCTCAGATGGTATTAAGTTCTGTGAAGAAAATACAAAATCAGGATAATGGAAAAATGAATGATAAGGTAAAAGGGCTGCAAATTTACATGGGATAGCGAGGGAAGACTATTCTGTGTCAGTAATGTTTAAGCAGAGACCTGATTGAGAGGAAAGTTATTCCAGTTAGAGGGAGAGGCAAGTGCAAAGGTCCTGAGGCCAGAGGGGATTTGCTGTTTTTATGGACCAGTAAAGAGGCCACTGTGGCTGAAATGGGTAGAAAATGGAGGAGAGTGGTAGGAGATGAGGCAGAGGTAGACAAGGGCCAGACAGCAGAGAGCCATGTATGTGACAGTGAGGACTTTGGATTGTATTCCAAGTAGGATGGAAGGTCATTGAAGGGAAGAAGATCCAAATATTCAGTATTACCAGCATCTAGGGAACTTATGATTTAGCAGCAAAATTTGACATGACTCTAGTTTTAGAAATACTCTTAAGAGGAAGAAGAATTACGCCAGTTTATTAAATAGAATAGGATGCTATGTAAAACAATATTAAAAACAAAATAGTTTATAGGTAACACTTCACTTTTGAGTCATAAGCTGACTGCTGGATAACTTCAGGAGCCATCCAAAATGGTGTTCCCACAAAGGTATTTCTTTTAATTTGTGTATCCGTCAGCTGGCCAGCCACTCCAAAGTCAGCAAGTTTCACATCTCCTTGCTCTGAGAGCAAGACGTTGGCAGCTAGGAGGGAAAAGGAAACAAACAAAACCCTCAGCTTCCTCAGAATGCATCTATTTTTCTCAGGTTCATATTAGACTTCTGTATACCTTTTATGTCTCGGTGAATTTTCTTTTCAGAATGCAGGTAGTCCAGACCTTTCAAAATTTCCTTTAGCATGGTAGCAATCTGGAACTCATCAAATGGACCAGCTCGCAGCTTAGGGGGAAAACACACACACACATACACATGTAAAAGTTTGGAACAATAAAGTTCAAACTTAACATTATCTTTGAAATAAAGATAACATTATCTTTGAAATATATATTGCTTATATATAATGAAGCAGTTCTATTTATTAAGCCAGTATTTAAACAATGAGAAAATTCTTAACGGTGAAGAGAGTTAAGTCAAAGGGCTAAAAGGGTTTGCAATTATTAGATTTTAATGATTAGATTTAATCTTGAGAGATAATATAACTATATATTAGCTTCAAATCTTGAGGTTCTTAAATATTTACATTAAAGATCTAAGGAACATGCTTAAGTAATGACAGATAGGAAAAATATATCAACTACTTAAATTTTGGCATTTGCTGTTTAAAACATTAAATATTTACACTGAACTGATTTTTAGATCAGATGGTCCATAAGATTTCTGCAGCAACCCAATCTGATCACATGGGTCAGCTGTAGCACAGTTCTTAACATTTACATATTTCAACAACACTGTGAAGCATAGAGCCTTTTTGGAGACTCAGATTTAAGTTTTAGCTAGGAATATAATAATTAAACTATTCAAACTTTCATCGTAAAAAGAAATTCAAACCATGGAGGGATACAGTTTTTCAAATAAACGGAACACATTTCCCTTTCTTCCCCTATCCCTGCCAGTGGTTTCAACTGCAATACAAGGAGAGCAATGATTAAGTTTCAGGAGAATTTGTAATGGAATATCTGAAAATCTCTCTTTAAAATAAATGGTTATTTTAAAATCCTGGTACCTCATAAAGCACAAACAGTGGACTGTATAATATTATTACAGGAAAGGGTGGGAATCTAAAGTCAGAGCTGAGGTAGAGTTCTGTTTGCTGGAAGGAGGGAAGAGGTGGTGAAAATCAAATATTGCCCACTCTGCCTCACACTGGGAGGGATTCACAGCTCTTTGGCACCTTCTGTATTTCATCTTTCATGAATGCCATATTTATTCTGAATAAAGGGCACTTTCATGTTGAAATTTAACAGCTTAAAATAGAACCCATACTTCGGTCTCACTATTTAATATTAACTATGCCCTGGATATATAGTATACTTTAGGGATGTTTATAGTTCAGTAGGTGCCTTTCCTAGGTAACATTATCTGTTTACTTTCAAATGTATCAACTTCCACCCCAAAGTATCTATTTAAACACCAGTGATTAAAGTCATCTAAAAGGTGAAAATGGCATATTATTTTATTGATTGCTGGTAATGAAATTCTGAGGTACTACCAAAGAACTTAAAGATAAATGCCAAGTAATACTACTTAAGACTAGTACTTTAGTATCACTGATTATAATGTTGACAGGGCCAGAGGAGTTATATTCTCAGTCATTTAGAAAATTGGGCAAGGTCCATATAAAAGGTACTAGCTATCATTCTGAAGGATTTCTAAAAGTGGTCTGAATAATATAGAATTTTAAAAATATACTTAAGTAAAAACAAATGGAAAAGTGGTCCGACAGACACATTAGCTTATCTGGTATACTTAGGTCCAGTTTAAAATTAAATGCACTCTCACTTAACTGGGTACTGGAGGAGGATGGGAAGGGCATTTCCGTGGCAGGGAAATGGGAGTAGGGTGGTGGCAGAGTTGGGTTTTTCTTGTTCATGTCAGACAGAAGACTATCCCAAACCTTGTGGTTATAATGTTTCCTTAGCCATGATGATAATGATCAGAAAAGGAGAAAAAAGGGAGCTGGAAAGAGAAGGAAAGTAAATAGATGGAATAGAGGTTGCTTTTTAAAAATTTCCAATGCAGCCTTGGGAGAGATGATGCCAAGATCTTGGTCCACTGTCCTTGGAGCGCACAATGGAGCTTCTCTCCAAAGACTGAAGGCGTTACCATGTCTCTAATAGCTAACACGTCTACCCCAGGGCAGGGTGCTGGTGTTGTCTGATTTGCCTTTGTTGTCAACTGAGGATATTCAAGAGAGGGACATCTGCAGGCTTGGGGGTGTTCTCCCACACTCCTTTGACTTCCAGCCAGTCCCTAATGCAGCATGTTTTGCTATGCTTTCTCTTACAGTTAGCATATTGTTTCCAACTTTTTCCCCTGGTGCTCATGTTTTATTCTCTTAACCTTATTATATATGTTTTTGTTGTAAGCCACTTCAATTTTTATTGGAAACAAGTAAGGTTTAATCAATTCAATAAAATAATGTACAGTATGCTCAAAGTCTGTTCACACACAACTAGTTTTTTTTTAAGAATGGGAGGGAATCTTGAGGTATATATTGTTGTTTTCAGTTGCTAAGGCGTGTCTTATTCTTTGCAACCCCATGGACTGCAGCCTGCCAGACTCCTCTGTCCATGGGATTCTCCAGGCAAGAATACTGGAGTGGGTTGCTATTTCTTCACCAGGGAATCTTCCTGACTCAGGGATTGAACCTGTATCTCTTGTATCTTCTATATTGGCAGGCTGGTTCTTTACCAGCTAAGCCTTTGGGGAAAGTCCATATACTATATAGTGTTGAACTTAATTACTGGTCATAATCATACTACACTAGTCAGGCACCAGTTTAATGGGATGAACACTTTTTGCCCAGCATTCCTTTTAATTTCTCTTGTCCCTGGTAGCAGTGCCCTCCTCTAATCCTGATCCTTTCTTAGATTCCTCCAAACAATAGCATTCTCCTAAATGAAGAATAGTACATTCTCATCATTTGCTCTCCCTACAAAGTCAAATCAATGAGGTTTATAATTAAGTCACAATAGTATTAAGTGTTAAGGCTAGAAAAAGAAAACTAGAGAGATTACTCATCTAATTTCTTATTTGAACATTTGAGGCACAGGTTAAATAGTCTGCCCAATATTAGCCAGCTAGTCAATGGCAGAACTGGGAATAGGATCTAGGTCTCTTGATTTTTAGCCACTACACAGCCAAGAACATCTTAAGTTCATTGAATTTATGCTAATTGTTATTTTTTGACTTAGGCAGAGCTTAGAATGAGATTAAGATCTCACAATCATTTCATTCAGAGGTTTCATAAAATTGCCCCAACTACTCTTGGGGGATACAGATTGTATTAGGTAGGGCTGGGCCATTGTCCAATGCTTCCCGTTGCTATCAGAGATCCTGATGAAGGCAGTGCACTTATCTTGCCAATGCCTACAAAACAGGGAAGTGACATGGTAAACATTTTGGGGGGCCAGTTAAGGTAACTGTGATAAATTTGGAAATGACTCTTAATATTTAAAAAGTAGGAGGAGGCTCCTAGAGCAATTGTCAGGCTTCTTGTGGAACTAATGAATGAATAAACTATTGTTTAATCAAACTACATGACAAGACAAATAGAGTTGAGATCATTTAATAGCGAGAATGAGACCTGACTCCATATGCATGAAGGACTATTAGCCAAAGAAACACCAGTTATGTTCTCTCACTAGACAGGAGCGAGAAAGAAAAAAAAAAAATGAAATGGAGCTTTAGGATGTAAGAATTAGATTAGACATAAAGAAGGATGGCCTAACTCAGCAACTGATTAAGCTGAGATGAATTCCTAGAAGATAAGGCTCTCCATCAAGTTTAATTACCATTTCTTTTGAATGGTTTAAATATGGTTCTGTCTAAAGGAAAGAAAAATCGCTTATGGTCATTTCTGTTCATAGGATTATTTGAAACTTTGGACATACTGGCAGTCAATATTAAAGTCTTTAAAAAATATTTGATCACTTTCAGTCAGAAAAATTCATCTCTACTTTTAAAAAACTAAGAATTAAAACATTACTCGGTGATCTTAATCATTCAAACACTTTATTTTTAGAAACAGCAGACTCCAATTTCAAAGGCAGAGGATATTATATAAAAGTCATATAATATTAAAGATGGAAGAAAACTTAGTGCAACTTCTTTGTTTTATAGGATGTCAAAGCCCAAGGAATTTATGTGTCTGGCTTACAGTCACAGACTTAGTCATAAACAGAGGCAGCCCTAGAAACTCAAACTCCCATAGGCCAGCCCAGCAGTCATTCTATTACACAAAGTTGTCTCTAGTCATTCATATTGCATTTTAAATACAATGTCATATTAATAAAATTTAAAGGGAGAGGGACAACACTGATAGAATCACACCACGTGGGGGTAATAAAATTTAAAGGGGGAGGGACAACACTGATAGAATCACACCATGTGGGGGAAAACAACCAGTGTTTCTCAATAACATTTTGTGCACAAACACATCTTCATTGATTAGAACTTTTCCCTCACACTGCAGGATTTTAGCAGCCTGGTCTGCTAAAATGGCTGTGGCATTTCCAAGTCATTGTGAGAAAAATGCCATCACATTTCCAAGTCACCTATAGAGAGGCAGAGAGAACTCTGCAGAGAGCTGGGTCTGTAGGGCTTCTTGGTCAAAACCCAAGAACCACATTTAGAAACAGTTATCTGGATGATATCTCTTCAACAATCTAAGAACATTCAGTCTTCTCAGGGATAAGCATGTAAAGAAAAACATGAAACTGATGGCAACTCTCACACACGCATTCCTCATTTGGGGGGAATTTTATTAAGCTGTTTGCATTTCTTATATACTTTAAGAATGCCAGCAATGTGCAGAACCTGCAATACAGCTGGATCTATGTTAAGAGTAGCAGTCCTGAAGATAGAGTGAACATATTAACTAAAACAACCACCTAGCTTGCCCCAAAGCCAATGCTCACTCCAATTAAAAAAGTGAAAGTATGGATGTGTGTGTGTAATTGTTTAAAGATACTTACAAGATCCAGCGCTGAACCGCCACCCAGGTATTCCATTATTATCCATAATTTTGAACCCTGTGAAAATCATGAAGTAGTTTAATAATTATAAACTTGAGACAAATAACATACTAGCATAAATGTTCACTATGACATACTAATGTACTAGTTCTAAAATGTAGGTTTAAAATTAGTTGCTTGGAACTCAATATATTTTTCCAAAGAATATCAAGTCCTACATCTTGACTCTCCCTGAAACCTGTTGAATGTATGATAGCTAAATACTATGAATGACACATTATTGTTGCTATTGTTGAACTATTAGCAACTTTAATAAAAGTTAGGAAAAAACCATAGCTTTAAATTATTATTTGAATGATGATACTGAAAGGAAATTAATGAGGAGGTAAATGGAGACTTGTAGAAATTTTGAATGGGGCTTCTGAGTGCTTCCCATGTGATTTGAGAGTTTGAGGACACTGGATACTGTACCTTAGTTTGGTTTTTGGTTTCTGTTTTAATCTACTTTACAACTTTTATCAGCCATGATTAATGGACACTTTTTTGTACAAATGTAGAAACTAGTAAGAACTCTGTAGCCCCCTCTCCCCCAAGGTACATGGATAAGAGAAAGGGAATGTGTAGCTTGAAAAGCATGATGATTAATCCAGGTAGAATTAACTTCACTGTAAGCTGTACAAGAGGAAATGGAGCTCATAGAGGGAACACAGATATTTGAATTACAAAACAGGTGTGTACACACGCAGTATTCAGCTGTATCAGACAAAATTTGGAAAACATTAAATTTTCTTTCAGCTACAGTTTGAAATACTGGAGACATCTCTCTCTCTCCATACATTTCATGAGTGGTAGTCTCTGAATATTTTTAGGACCACAGAATTGACTGGAAGCATAATGGTTGGTTTTATTATACTGGCAAATAGCCAAGCTGTGAATGGATTGTATTCTAAAAGTCCATTTTTTTTAAGAAACATGTTTGGGATTTGGAAAGCAAGCATTTTGCCATAAAAATAATGCCTAGGTTCCTGGAGCTGCCACTGCTGCTGCTAAGTCACGTCAGTCGTGTCTGACTCTGTGCAACCCCAGAGACGGCAGCCCACCAGGCTCCCCCGTCCCTGGGATTCTCCAGGCAAGAACACTGGAGTGGGTTGCCATTTCCTTCTCCAATGCATGAAAGTGAAAAGTGAAAGTGAAGTCGCTCAGTCATGTCTGACTCGTAGTGACCCCATGGACTGCAGCCCACCAGGCTCCTCCGTCCATGGGATTTTCTAGGCAAGAGTACTGGAGGGGCTTGCCATTGCCTTCTCCTGTTTCCTGGAGCAGTCCCCTCCAAAAGACAATTTAACACAAAGGTAGCCAGAGTATACCTGAAAGAACACTAGAGAAACTCCTGTTTACACCATAACAATGTTTCTAGGGGGAAAATGGATTCAGTGTCGTGCTTCATGCTGGGATTCCGGGAACACATTTCTCACCTTTACAGTCCCAGCTGCAGGATAAAGATTCTCAAGCTATTGCTGGTAGTTCTGAAACTCTAAAATCCTTGGGAAGTAGGAGTTCCATTCAAAATTTCCAAGTGTCTCTGTGAGGCTGGGGCTTTATGATGGCAGAGAATGGACTCCAGTAAAATGATGATGGGTGTTTAGGGGACACTGTAGTGGGGGAAATAGGCTGGGGCCAAGAGTTAGGGACTGAGGAGGGAAGGTTCAGTTAAATTAAGATGCTGACAGGATGTCCGAGAGAGAGGAACAATGCCCTCCACCCATCTTGACACCCGCTCTCTCCTGTCACAACAAGCCAGCTTGAGCTTAGGAGAGAGAGTGGCATCTATAGCAGGAACGAGAGAAAATAAATCCCCACAACAGTGAGAGGGCAGAAGAGTTCCAGTACAGAAATTAGACACTCAGAACATGAGAACTGTGAGCTGTTCCTCACAATGTCATACAGCCTCAGAAGCTTGTCTTTTGCCAGTTTGTTTCTAATAAGTACTATATTCTACTTCATGAATTCAGAATGCTTTCCATGCACGTGACATTTCAAAGAAAAATTAAAAGATCTTACAAAACATGTTTATCTGTTTTGCAGTTCTGCATGAATGAGAGCACCTGTTTTCCAAGTTAAAAACAATGTGTGGCTTTTTTTTTTTTTGGTACCAACTGAAAACAGAAACTTAGCAACTGTCTGTTCGTCACTAAAAAGTATTCATAGAAAGCTTAAAAATGTCATTAACGTTATGACTAAGCAACTTCCAGGTCTGAAAATGCTTCCTCTTTGCAAGCGAGCTATTTGGTGGAACTAGGACTCTTCCGAAACAGGCAGGGAACCAGAGCTGTCTGATAGGTTTTCTGGGTGCTTCCTTCTGACCGTCACTTCTGCAGACAAGTGTCGCTGGAGGACGGTTATATGTCTGGACATTCAGAAAACTGTGAGGCAGGCAGAGGAACTGAAGCAAAGTGCGACTGGGATGGCAAGCTGGAATGGCAAGCTGGCGGGGCTCCTGCCTACTCACAGATGCTTAATCCACACAGGCTCTTACTCGTTCCTTGTCCACAGTGGGTCTTAATGAAAACACCAATCACAAACCAAACCCGACCAAAAATCCCAGATCTTGTGTTTGTATTCTTTTGGGGAACTACAACTATTACCTTTGATTTCTGGTAAAAAATATTTGTGTTTGAGAATGCAAATATTTGGTCTATTCTTAAATAATTTAAAAGCTTAAGATGATATCTACATAGTGGTTTACAAATCCAAAAGAGGCAAGTGGCTCTAAACCATAACCATATATCCGGCACATTTAAGCATAGGAAGACCCTGCAGGGAAAATGCCACTTTTCTAATTATAAAATGACCCACACATTTTAGCAATGGGTTGGAAAGAGTAAGTGTAAAGTCCTGCATCAACATGGGTGGTAAGTTAGGGGTCAGGAAATGGCTCTCTGTTTCAAATTGTGGAAAACCTAAAGAGTAAGTACTTCAGAGTTATACTGTTTACCAGGGAGAAGTTGGAGTCTAGTTTTAACAAATCACTGGTATCTGGCGTATCAACTCCATCACCCCATGTGACCTTTGACCCCACTGTGTGCCACTAAAGCAGACATTTGGCCAAAGGGGGCAGAAATGCTACTGTGGCCCTTGGGATTCATTTGTTCACAGAAAAACAAAAATTTAAAAGAAAAGAACATGTAAAATACCCATGATATGTATTTTCAAGATAAGACATCATAGATCAAGTTCATATACATGAACATAGATCAAGTATATGTTGAATTAAGCAGGTTGGTCTATGAAGCAAATAGCCAAATAGAACACTGACCACATAAACCAGCATATGCAAGTAAGATAAACAAGTCACCACTGGGCAAATGTTGTATGAGCCCACTGATCTGAGGAGTCTAGGGTAGGGAAACCAAAGACAGAAATGAGAATGATGGTTACCAAGGACTATGGTGAGGAGAGAATGGGGAGTTACAGATTAACAGGTACAGAGTTTCGGTTGAGGAAGGTGAAAGCATTCTGGAGATGAATGGTAGAGATGGCTGCACAGTCACTTGAGTTTATGAAATGCCACAGAACTGTACATTTAAAAGGGTTAAAATGATAGCTTTTGTGATGCATATTCTACTACAGTAAAAAAAAGAGACAGAACATAAAATTTTATAGAACTGCAAGGAATAGTAGAGATCACCGTGCCAGAACTTTACCACCTGAGAAGAATTTTTTTCCAGTCAAGAATGCCTTGTCTATACCCTAGTCTCATATCCCAGTTCAGTTCAGTTGCTCAGCCATGTCCGACTCTTTGCAACTCCATGGACTGCAGCACGCCAGGCTTCCCTGTCCATCACCAACTCCCAGAGCCCACTCAAGCTCATGTCCTTTGAGTCGGTGATGCCATCCAACCATCTCATCCTCTGTCATTGCCTTCTCCCGCCTTCAATCTTTCCCAGCATCAGGGTCTTTTCCAATGAATCAGTTCTTTGCATCAGGTGGCCAAAGTATTGGAGTTTCAGCTTCAGCATCAGTCCTTCCAATGAATATTCAGGACTGATTCCCTTTAGGATAGATTTATGCGATCTCCTTGCTGTCCAAAGGAATCTCAAGAGTCTTCTCCAACACCACAGTTCAAAAGCATCAATTCTTCTGCACTTAGCTTGCTTTATAGTCCAACTCTCACATCCATATGTGACTACTGGACAAACCAAAGCTTTGACTAGATGGACCTTTGTTGGAAAAGTACTGTCTCTGCTTTTTAATATGCTGTCTAGGTTAGTCATAACTTTTCTTCCAAGCAGCAAGCATCTTTAATTTCATGGCTGTAATCACCATCTGCAGTGATTTTGGAGCCCAAAGAAATAGTCTGTCGCTGTTTCCATTGTTTCCTGATCTATTTGCCATGAAGTGATGGGACCAGATGCCATGATCTTCATTTTCTGAATGTTGAGTTTTAAGCCAACTTTTTCACTCTCTTCTTTCACTTCCATCAAGAGGCTCTTTAGTTCTTTGCTTTCTGCCATAAGTGTGCTGTTATCTGCATATCTGAGGTTATTGATATTTCTCCTGGCAATCTTGATTCCAGCTTGTGCTTCATCCAGCCCAGTATTTCTCATGATGTACTCTGCATATAAGTTAAATAAGCAGGGTGACAATATACAGTCTTGACATACTCCTTTCCCAGTTTGGAACCAGTCTATTGTTTCATGTCCAGTTCTAAGTGTTGCTTCTTGACCTGCATACAGATTTCTCAGGAAGCAGGTCAAGTGGTCTGGTATTCCGATCTCTTTAAGAATTTTCCAGAGTTTGTTGTGATCCACACAATCAAAGGCCTTGGCATAGTTAATAAAGCAGAAGTAGATGTTTTTCTGGAACTCTCTCACTTCTTTGATGATCCAACAGATGTTGGCAATTTGATCTCTTGTTCCTCTGCCTTTTCTAAAACCAGCGTCAACATCTGGAAGTTCATGGTTCACATACTGTTGAAGCCTGGCTTGGAGAATTTTGAGCATTACTTTGCTAGCATGTGAGATGGGAATGGCAAATCACTTCAGTATTCTTGCCTT